TTCTTCATCCATCCTTCCTTGTATGGGTAGAGATCTGTAGATCTTGAAATGCTTTTTAATCCAATTTAATTTCCATAACGGTGAGTTTCAGATCATGTTCCCTCATCAGTGCTCTCCCTGATTACTTCTAACCTCTCCATAAACGGCCCCTCCATTCTTCCCGTGACATGCACCAGTCCTCCTGTCCCTCACAGCACAGTGCCCCCCCCCCCATGCCTCACAGCAGCTCTGGCGTTTTTCCTCCAAACGGGAGAGTTTTCCCCAAGAAGTTCTGGTTTGGTTTGATCTGACCACACCATATTCTCCCAGTCCTCTTCTGGACCGTCCATGTGCTCTCAGGCAAACTCCAGACTCCATCCACACTACCAGGTCCCTCCATGTGGTTCTGGGATTTCCTCCATTTCCAGTTTCTCCCAGTGGATTTCTTCACACTGACCTACTCCCCTATTGTCAAGTTCTGTCTGGTTTCTAGCTTTAGCTCAAAGGATTTAGGATTGGAATTGGGATTAAGTTGAAAACCTTCCAAAAATAAATAGACAAACAAAAGTTGAATTAATCAAATCAAACATTTTCACTGTGGCTCCACCATAACTCAACTTCTACCTTTTTAATTAACAGTATCTGATTAACTAACTCCACTTCCCCCTTACCAGTTGGGTATCTGGTGATTGGACTGTGAGCTGAAACCTGATTGGCTGAGAGCTGGTCACACAGGAAGTTCTCTCCTCTTCTCTCCTACCTTTCTTCTTCTTCTTTGACATCTATCGTAGGTTCCTTCCTCCCAGCCTGGAGCAGCTCTTCTTCCTGCTGTCTTAGGGAACTTATAGGTCTGCAGAGCTACAAATCCTGCTTATTTGTGGGAGACAAAATACTTATTTTCCACCATAGTTTACTAAGAAATTCTTTAGAAATCCTACAATGTGATTTCCTTGATTAGTTTCTCTCATTTTGCCTCTCATAATTAGAGGATCTATGATGAGTTACAGACTCATCTTTTTAAGTAGGAGCACTCAGAGACTAAATACAGTTCTTCCCCACTTTATATTTATGATACTTACAAGTTTTGTTTTTTACCTGTTATATATGTTCCAGTTATAGCTGTATCATGGACATAATGTGTAAACTCACATAGTTTCAGCTCCTTAACATGTATCATCCACTTTTCTTTAATGGTGTAGAGTAATTTGATATACGGGCCAAGGACTCAAAGGGCATTTCAAGGTAGGTGTGGGCAATTCCTTCATTAAGTAATTATTAATTCAGCACATAAAAGGCCAGGGGGTGATTTGTGTTTGGAAGATTTAGCCTGTAACAAAAGAAGCAGGTGTAATAACAGGAAGGGCTACAGAGTTTGGTATGTGTCCCTCCCAAATCCTGGATCAACCCAAAGGGAAGCCCACACATCACAGACATACATCCATTCCAAATGTTAATATTTTAATAACACAGATATTTCCATCCAGTTTGGGGACAGGGGTCTACGGCAGGTCTTAAAGTGACAGGCGACATGTTCACAGCTCACAGGAGAAAAACCACCAACGATTCCATGTGAAGGTCAACAAAAAAGCAGCACATGGCATTAACCCACACACACGCGCACACACACACACACACACACGGGTGTATCGAGATGGACGGCAGGACGGCTGTAGCATGAGGGCACGTGCACGTGGTCTGGTTAGCTGAAGCTATCTAGCTGAACAGTGAGGAAACGAGGACACAGGAGGGAGCCTTTCACGGGTTAGAGCTGGACTAAAGGCTGTGGACTGGAGGGAAAGACGACACAAAACCTGGGAATGGATCCATTCACCACACACACACACACACACACACTCACTCACACACACGCCCTTCTGCCATTGGCCAGCAGCTCCTGGATCAGGACTTTCTGTAGGAGATCTACCAAACTAAACCTCAGTGCGTGTTGAGCTGCTGTAGAATGGTTTATGTTTCATCACATCCAAATGCAACCGTTCAATAAATAAGAGCTGGAGGCGTCTCAGATTGGGACCAGCAGGCCGTTCCCAGTTAGACCAGCTGGATACTGGTGCTGCTCTGGGTTTAGTGTCTGGGGGGGCTACCCCCCCACTCTCAGTGACATAAAAACAGTCCCTCGGCCTGGTTCCAGTCGGGGGGGAGCAGGAGGTCTTTGGCTGTTCTTCTCCAGTGGTCCTGGATCAGATCTGGGGGGGACTCCGGGGTTAGTCAAACGTTTCCCACTTCCTCCGAAGGTCCTCCACCTTCTTCTTCTGTGGTGGAACGGGCGTGGCCATGCTCAGCAGGTCCCCAAAGGGGTCCTGGTTCTGGGGGCCGTCCCCCCGGGCCTGAGCCGGCCTCTGGAAGAGGGGGGGGGGGTCTGAGAGGCCGCAGAGGGACGGGCTGCTGTCAGAGTCAGGCGGGGGGGCGGCGGAGGAGGGGGGGGGGGCCGGGGGGGGGCCCCCCCCCCGGGGGGGAGGGGGCGGTGGGGCCCCGATGGGGGGGGGGGGGCCGGCAGGGGGGGGGGGGCCGCGGGATTCCCGTAGACCGAGCCAAAGGGGTTCCCCCCCACAGAGTAGAGCTGGGGGGGCTGTGCAAAAGGGTTCAGAGACATGTGGGGGGGCAGGCCGAAGGCGGGCGGGCCCTGGGGGTGGGGCCGGGGGGGCAGCGTGGGTCTGGCCCCGGGGCCCTGGGCGGGGCCGCTGAGGGGGTCCAGCAGGCTGAGCAGGTCCGGGCTGTCCCTCAGCAGGTCCTCCTCACTGCTCATGCTCAGAGCCTGCCGGAACTCCTGCCCCCCAGGAGTAGTCCTGCCCCCACACAACCCCCCCGCTTTGGGGGGGGCCTGGGCCACCGGGGGCACCAGGCCGGCCCCGGGCTCCGGGGTCTTCCTCCCCAGGGGGCGGGGGATGGTGATGTTTCCTGGGGAGGAGCTGTCCCCGCCCGGGGAGGGGGGGGGGGCCTCTGTCCGCAGAGGGGCCGGGACGGCCGGGGGTCTCTCGCCCCCCCACAGCTTGTTGTAGGGGTGGGACAGCTTGAGGCCCGGAAGCGTCCGCGTGTTCTCGCTCACGCTCAGGTCCATCCGCTGGAACAACACAGGCATGGGGGGTCAAAACTTAGTCCTTAGTTAGCCCACTTAGTCCTAACCACTTTAGATCAGTGGTTCCTAACCCATGGTCTGTAATAATGAATTGTTTCTGTTGCATTTATCCTCCGAGTCTGAATAAGCTTTTATTTTGTCAAATATTTTATTTTGAAACCTGAGCGCCCAAAACGTACCCCCCAAGTTAGAAAAAGGAGTAAAAACAGAGGTGTTCTGAAAGTTTCTTTAGAAGGGAAAAGGCCCAAAGAAGAGACTCCAGAAAATAAAAGCTTTACCAGACCAAACCAGGAGTTCTACTGGAAACATGGACCTGTTCCCACAGACCCAGAACACTCTGAGTCCTTTAGACAGAATCTAGATTCAGAATAGAAACCTGGTAGGTGAACTTGGCCTGGAGCTCGTCGGGGTCTTTGGGGGTCCGGAGGTCCTCCAGGCTTTTGGCCAGGGCGAGGGGCTGGCTGTCGGGCTCGTCCTGGCAGCCGAAAATGTCCCCCAGGAGGTTGATGTTGGAGAACTTTTCGGTGACTGGACTGGGGGGGGCGGTGTGGCTCTCCGCCCCCAGACCGGCGTCCTCCGCCTCCATCAGCTCCGCCTCCTTCAGGGAGCGGTAGGGCTGCGGCCTGCAGGAGGAGCCACACCTCACACCTCTTTATACGCCTTTGGTTCATGCAGCTTTTGCTGCTTTCTAATCTGAACCTGATCCACAAACTTCCCTTTCCTGACCCTAAACATGGAATAACATCAGGGGTGAAAGGTGGAGACATAAAGTACACTATTTTCCGCACTATAAGGCACCTAAAAGCCTTCAATTTTTTCTAAATCCGACAGTGGGCGTTATATATTGAACAGGATGGAACCCTTAACAGGTCTCAGGAAACAGCAGACTCTATTTTTCTCCTGTGGGAGAAGCAGCGCCCCCTTCTGGGGATCCTCAGTACTGCACCATGTCCATATCTGTTAGTCCCCGTTTTAAAAGTGGACGCAGTGAGAGAAGGAGGCTGTTAAAAAATGTGGACATTAAAGGGAAACGTTGAATCTGATCCTAACTACGACAACAGATAGTTCAAATAGAAAAGCTGCTCAGCTTTATGCTAGCTGCTATATGTTGTGATGCTAACGTCTGATTTACCCTAACGTATCAGACTGGTTCTGTTATTTACTGAATGGAGGAAAAGTTCCCTCCACTTCTGATAAAAATGCTGCTCTACCTAGTAAACATTGTTGTAGTTAAAGATAAACTGTGTCCCTAAAACACTAGCTCACTGACATTAGCTGGAACAATACTAAACAGCTGTCTTTTACTGGAGCTTCTATTCTATGAGCCTTATAACGCGGTGCGCCTTATATAGGGGAAATACGGTAAACAAAGCAAAGGCAATGGCAGAGATGCGTACAGAGGCGACCAATCAAAGGGGACAGCGAAGAGAAAGCTGTCAGGAAAGCCAGACATGGAGTCGTCGCCATACTGGAGCTCGTCCCCGGACGAATCCTCAGACAGAAAGATTGTGTAGTGGCGAGTAGGACGGATAGAGCTACAGCCAGGAAGGAGAGAAAACAGAGAAACCACAGCTCATTCCTGGAGCATTAAAAAGAGACAGAAAAGAAAGGGAAAGCAGGAAAAGCAAAGCAGAGGATTCCTACGAGAGCAAGTCCAGCCTTTGTTCAATCAGTTAATGTGTGGATGAATGTGTTCATGCAGTCAAACCCCAAACTCTGATCAGAAGAAAACCTTCCCCTTAATAATAATGATAGTAACTGTGATACAGCCCGTCTAAAAAGGTCTAATGACATCCATCCGGCTGTCTGGACGGCTCATAAAGGCACACAGTCTTTACTATAAAACAAAAACTACGTGTTTTTAATTGATTTATTTGTCTATTAATCAACTAAATATCTATAACTCAGTGTGTGATGCGTGTGGTGTAAGGTTGTGCATGAGGGCGTTGGGTGGATCTATTAAAGGTTACTTACTGGTCAGAGCTGCTCTCCAGACTCATGTTGCTGCTCGGCCTCTTTAGTAGGATCGGAGGCCGGGCCTGAGTTAATGAGGAAAGAAAATACAAACAGAGAGAGAGTGACTTAGTATGAGCAGACAGACCAACAGGAATGGGACACAGCTTGAAGACGTAAATATTAAATATGAAATTCCTAATTGCCCAGTGGTTAAACCCTTCTGGACTGAGCTCCATAAAGTGCTCTATTTAACACTAATCTACATTATTATTAGGAAATTTGGATTTACAGGTCAGGAAAGCTGATGAATACTTTGGGCCAAGTGGGTTAAATATGCTGGTTTGAACAGACAGAAATGCAATGCTGGTATTTGTTTTATTTTGTTTGAATGTTTTGTTGTATCTAAGGATTAATGTATCTCCCACACTGCCTGGTGGATATTTTATTTATTCATTTTTTGCTTTTTCATGTAAGTCTATCTTCCCCAGTTTATTTAAAGTTGTTGGATGTAATTTACTTTGTATATCACACACAAAAATAATTGTAAGTGGCCTAAAAGTACCTACCACTGTACTGAAATGCTCTAGCTAAATAAGAATAAAAAATGTCAAAAAAAGACATTCCTACTGCCTACTGTCCTGGTATGAGAGCCCTGACTCCCTGAGTGGAAGCAGGGGAAAGGTTTTCAGCCTATTTCAATAAATAAGGTATCAAAACGTTCAGTTCAGTCTCTTGGTGTTCAAATCTTTGTAACTTTTTAAGTTATTTAACTTTTTCATTGAAATGAATGGAGTCAAAAATATGGCTCCCTCTGCTGGTCACTGGCATTTTAGCCCCTTCAAATTCTTCCTGTATATTCCTAAACAGCCTGGTTAACTGGGATATAACTCAATGGTTGTGAAGTTGCTAGTTCAAATCCCATCAAATCTCCTGTAACTTATTGATAATTTCATGGCCTTTTACCCATTCCTCTTCTTCTTATCCTTTTGCCTTTCTTCATCAACTCTTCTGTTCTTTTAATCTTTTTGTCAATCTTCTTCCACTCTTCTTCAGCCGTTGTTCTTTTACTCTCCACTTCCCCTTCAAAATTTTCCTATGTATGTCTTTTTTTTATTTTCAGCATTTCTTCTTCTAATCCTTTTGCCTTCCTTCTTCCACTCTTCAGTTCTATGTGTTTTTCAGCTTTTCTTCTGCTTCCTCCCTCCAGCATTAGGCAGGAAGCCTTTTTCTAGTTTTAGATTAGAATCTCTTTGTCTGTAATTGATCAGAAACACAGCGGCCTTTTCTTGTCTTTTATCTATGCTAACGCACATAAGGGGAGGTTTGCCTAAGAATAAATCCCTTTATTGGACAAGATCCATCTCTAAATATTGAGAAACTTTGTCTGACTCATATAAATAATTTCCATAACAGCTGACAGCTCCCCTGACAGGTAAACTCCCCCCCCCCCCCCCCCCCCCCCCCTGGTGGAGGCCGGCCTGCCCAAAGTGCATAGTGATGGGCCTGTGGTCCTCCAGGGGTCTGAGCGCCCCCCCGGAGGCAAATCCAGCCACGCTGTCCTCGTCGATGCCGGGGGTGGAGAAGCCGTTCTCCGCCTGCTCCTGGGGGGGGGGGACACAGGGAGGAGGAGGCTGATCGGGGAGAAAGGAGTGGTGGTACTGGAAGGGGGGAGGGAGGGGCATGGGGAGGGAGGCGGCACGCCTAGGCTGGGGGGGCCCGAGGGTTCAGTTAAGGTAAAGGATTATTACGGGGGTTTTTAAGAAAGATCAGAATCAGAAGTAATACTAAAAGGAATACTTTAAATTATATTATGAAATTATTTAATATACATATACATTATTTAATATTTATTTTACATTATATAAAGTAGTATATTATTAAATTATTTAACATATATATAAATTATTTAATATACATATAAATTATTTAATAATATTTAATAATGGTCAAAATTGTTCACAATACTTGTAATTATTTAATAGGACTAATAATATATTATATATATTAATTATTATTACTATTATTTTTAATATTTAAAATTTAAATATTTTATTTTAAATAATATTATAATTATTAGTATAAACGTATTAAAGTAATACTATTAAAGTAAGTATTAAAGTATATTAAAGTAGGAACAATCCCAGCCTTTGCCGTTATTAGTGGTAATTGATTGATCGATGAATACTTTAATGATCTCAGAATGGATAAATAATGCTGGTAAAGGTTCCATAGCTCGTAGCATCCCTCCTGAGAAGGCTTCCTAATCCTGTGTCAGCACTGGGGAGTCACATACCCTCTGTTTAAGCCGGCTTTTCACTTCTTTGATGCGCATCTTGGCGTGGTCCTTTGCCTGTGGAAGAAGCAGAAGAAGGATTACATTCACACCACAACCTTTAGCTGTTAGCATCTTCAGACAGCCGCCTCAAAACAAGTCTGAACAAAGGGAATTAGAAAGTGCTTACAAACTTGTAAACGGTCCTCATAGCTGGGTTTGCCTTTGTCTTCACAGTTTGGAAGATAGCTCCGCCCCCTTTCTGGGAGGAGACAAACATACAACAATTAGACAGAAAAGCCAGGCACAGGTTTCTAACTCAAAATGACAAATCTCAAAGGTCAGTGTAATGTCACCTTGACCTACATTATCTACAGTCTAGGTGAAAGAGAAGATCTCATTTTTTTCTTTTCAAATAAAATATTTTTATGTGAGCAGTTTCTTATTGCTGTTATTCCTGCTTTCATTATCATTACTATCAATATCTGGACCATTTTTGTATCCAGTCTGTGTTTCTGTGGAGGCTGCCTCCCTCTGTCCTCTCTCTCTCTCTCTCTCTCTTTCGCCCTCTGTCCCTCTCCCTCCCTCCCTCTCTCTCTCTCTCTCTCGTTGGTTTTTAACTGGTTCCGAGTTCGTACAGCAGCAGAGAAAGATACAAGCTCAGTCTAACCAATCTGTGAACCTAAAGTGGAGCTTTTTGTGGAGTGAAAACCAGACTGAATGGGGGAGCATCAGAGGGAATGAATGGTTAACTAATTTATGAAGGAGTTTATGACACAACTGGAAGAAAAGCACAAGCACAGCGAACACAAAAGAGCAGAGGCAGGTTTTCTTCCTGTGTGTTTCTGATTACCTTCACAGTGAACAGCCACTGGTGGTAGGTCTTGTCACTGCCTGTTTGAGAAAGCCACAACACTTCATGAGCCAGTCACACATCACTGACCACACACAGCCACAGAGGAGGGGTTTTCTAAATGTCTGGATGTTGTACAGACTGCTTTCTGGAGCTCACGTCTCCTCATGAGTATTACAGCTACACAACGTTAGACATTTCAAAAGTTAGCTTCAAATGCCACTTTTTACTTGGATATCTGTGAGCTTAGATTGATCTTAGATTGGCCTTTCTATTGGTTAGTTCTCATGTAGAGAACCACAAACGTTCCCTTTCTTTGAGAATAGACAGAAAACAGTACTTTTGAATTACCTGCATATTCCCCCATGCTGATCTCCTCCTCAAAGATGTCGTTAAAGCCCTCTCCTGAGTTCAGCAGGTCCAGTCGGCCATCGATGAACTGCATTCATAAGCACACATGAGGTGGTTTCTAAAGGCCTGCTCCACTGTGCGCTGAACTGAGCTCTGTGTGGGTGTACCTGCTTGAAGAGCTGCAGCTGAATGGCATTCTGGAGGAAATGTCTCATGGCACTTGAGCGATGGTTCATAAAGGTTTCTTCGTTGAATGTTATTGGTTCTCCCTACAAGAAGTAAAACACAAAGCCCGTCACAAAAAGCTTTCAACACCCAACATACACTGTCTGGCAATCTTAAGAGTTCAGGTCCTTTTTCACTAGCATCTCCCAGGTGGACTACAGGGAGTCACATGACTGGATGAGTCATGAAAGTATGGATGTCCCGATCCACCTTTCCAATCCGATCCCGGCCTATCAGAGCATGTGTTAAAAAGTCTAAAGTTATTTATCTACTTACTTAGTTGTCAGACTCATGTTGAACAGGGATTTACTCTGATAACAACTTAATGGTTAGGACACAGACCTGTGGTTACAGATGCTAATGCCAATGCTCATGTGGGATCGGGCTAAAAAAGAAACTGGCTCTGGAGTCTGGATCGGGGTTTTCTCCCGATCCGATCCAGATATGGGATCGAGACAGCCTACATGAAAGCAACTCCTTCACTGGAAAGCCAGCCACTTTTTAAATGTGGCAACAACAAAGTGATTTAATCATTTAATCAAGTGCTGGTGATTCTTAAATCACAGAAAAATGAAGAAACATTCCTTTCATTTGGGTTAGGTTTGGTTTAGGTAGCTCCTAACTGGAGCCCTGATATAACCCTGTTATACTGACCGGCTCAATCTGCAGGGCACTCCTGTAGCTGCCAAACAGAGCTGCCTGACTCTTGAGGAAGGCTCGGGCCACCCCGTCCCCCGTCGTTGCCGAGACCTTCTTCAAACGGCTTTTCAACTGTGAAACCTGTTGGACACCAAGCAACACGTATTAACACACTCCCTCTGGTCTCTGACTTTAGTTTCATGTGATGGTACGGACAGCTTTCCTAAACTCTGAGAGTATCAGGGGCTCCTCACCACGTCGTTAGGCAGGCTCTGGAGGTCATCAAAGGGTGTTTCCAACGTGTTTGTGTCCACGTTGAGCACCACCACATCATCCAGGGCCATCCCCCGAACCTTCTGCAAGCACATAGGGAGCAAATGACACGGTGAGGGATAATTAAGGATAGCTATCGTTTGTCAATATTAAAACAGAAGGGTAACAGATACACTGTAAAAGTATTTAATCGATTGGTTGAAAAACGGTTGTAGACACATACCTCCATGAGGCTGGAATGAACTCCGATAAGGTAGGGCATCGGAGCACTACAAGAGAAGAACACTTTGCCTAAGATGACTTATACGCAACGATAACAGACCAACACAAAAATGAGTGCTGGTCAGACATGACCACATCAACCCCTCTGTTCACTGTGCACCACGGGTTACCCCTGGTTACCCCTGCATATGAAAAGCCCCAAAAAACAGCTTTAAAAGCACCAAAAACAGCTTTAAAAGCCCAGAAAAACAGCTATAAAGCCCCCAAAACAGCTAAAAAAGCCCCAAAAACAGCTTTAAAAATCCCCAAAACAGCTTTAAAGCCACAAAAAACTGTTTAAAAACCCCCCAAAAAGCTTTAAAGCCCCTAAAAACAGCTTTAAAAGCATCAAAAACAGCTACACTAAGGGAATGCAGAGCCCTTTAAATTGGAGCCACTTCCCTCTGTGTGGATGTTCGCTTTTACAGTAGACAGTGCAATGTGAAGTCTGACGGACACACTCACCAGCAGTAGTCCAGCAGATGCTGAGGGAGGACAGGAATGTAGACGTGTTGCCAGTGCATTGGATATAACATGGCTGCAGATCCATGAACACAGGCTGTTAACTGGGAAGAAAGGTCAAGGAGACAAATTCAAGCTCAACATCAAAGCTCAACAGCCTTTCAAAATAAGAGTAAAGCATGAGGTGCAATCAAACCTTCATATTACTAACAGCAAATAAAGCTAAAGTTCAATTAAGATAAAGGGTTGAGGAAGATATTCTGATGGTTCATCATCACCATCACAATCTTTATTCAACCCTCAAATATGACACATTTAATCATAATTACTGCTTTTAGCTACTGAAAGTGATGTGAATTTTTGAGCTTATCTGCCAACTTTCACTCATTATTACACCCAGATTTACCTCTGTATTGTTAGTGGGTAAGGACTGTTTCTAAATGTCTGTTAAATGTTCATAGCTTTGGAAATGAAAACGCAGGTCTACCATTTAAACAGCCTGTGTTTCAGGGGAAAAAATAAAGCTAGTTTGGGATATGCAGGGAAAAATAAGTAACCAGACGTGTTCTTTAAGCTCCGTGAATAATACAAGTTTAACACTGTTAACAAAGTACAACGGGCATAAAAACAGCCGTATTCCTGCAGCCTTAAAGAGGCTGGTAAGGGAACAGGAGGTGGGGTCTACTTACAGTGCTTAGTTTGCTACAGCAGATGAGGACTCGACGTTCATAAAGCATACTAGCATACAGGTGAAGCATGTTATTGACATCTACTGCTACAAAGTACTCTGTTAGGTTTCTCTGCAAAGGGCAAAACAAAAGAAGAGACAAATAAACAGAAGAGTTAATTCGACAGAAAAAAGCAGAGTGCATGGCACAATCTGTGATTCATAAAGTACATCTCCATTTTATTCAATTCAAGTTCTAAAAGCAATTTCGAGACAACATCTTTCAATACTGATGGCTACATGCAGTCCAAACCATTTGGTATTATCTAATAACACAGATAAGCTGAGTACTCCCATCTAAATATCTCAGTGTGCATATCTCTTTCTGATATCACAGAATATTACATTTGGATTTGATCACAGAGTGTTTAGACCAGAGAAAACAAAACCCTTTGGGATCCATTTGGGTGTGTGAGGTCACTTTGTCAGAGCATGTGTCTGGAAACATCTCAGTGGGCTGTTGAGCTCTCCATCACATCGTAGTTACAGCTAGTAGGCTGGTACCGATCCGATATCTGGATCCGATTGGCCACTGATATTTGCAAAAAAATGCGTATCGGCTGGTTTAAAAAGAGCATTAGGATTAGCATCTCTAGCGCACAGGTCTGTGTCCTAACCATTAAGACGGCCATTTTAATGTGAAGCTATCGGTAAAAATGTCATTTGTGTGGGATTATTTTATCCTTAAGGACGAAAAAGAGGAACTGATACTGAGTTAATAGACTATTTTCTATTCAGGTTGTTTGTGTGTTTGGCCTTTTTAACACAGTTTACAATATTATTGTCACTTTTTACTGTTCACTGATTTCCATTAGTTGTCTATAATTTGGTCTATTATGTGTTTCTCCCTGAGTAAACTATTATTATTATTATTCAGACTCCCCTAATTGAGCTGGTTAGTTGTTATCAGAGTAAATCCCTGTTCAACATGAGTCTGAAAAATAAGGAAGTAGATAAATAACTTTAAACTTTAGCACATGTTCTGATAAGCCGGAACAGCTAGTTCCAGCAGAACTGTCCAGCCTCTGAACCCTTATGTCCACCCACATTTTTTTCGCTTAAATAAGAAAAAATTGGTCCACCACTACTGGGTTTAATATCTTATTTTCCTTCTTGTTGAAAACCTGTTAGATTTGTTTACCCAGAATGGAGGACATTTTAGGCTATTATTGCCCACATAAAGAACAGCTCTAAACATTAGCTGCTTAAAACTGAAGAAAAAACTAAAGCCCCAATTTCATGGAGCCGATAAGTAATGGAGGAACTGTGAAGGGACTTTGGATTTAAAAGAGTTGCATCCCCTTGAGGTGAGGATAAACTGGCTTAACAGAAACTTCCCTTAAACTAAAAATCAGCCACATTTATGGTCATATAAAAGGTCACTCACATTCTCGGGAATACTGGGGAGTTCGCTTGTGTCAGGCACAGTGAAGAAGGAATGCTGCAGAAAACAAAGTCAGCCACATTCAGCATTTTAACACGCTAGTCTCCATGTGCGAACGGGTTCCTTATTTGATAAGCAGGTTTAGCTCACCACTCCAATATGAACGGGCACTCCAGGCTCAGGTATGGGCAGCGTGTGGAGGGACACCAGCAGCTCATGCCACTCACTCTCCTGAAACATTAAGGCAATAAGGCACAAGGAAGTTGTTTCCTCCCTGTGTCTCCTACTGCTTGGTGGGAGTTGTTCTTCTTCTGGAAATAACTCAGAGTCTGAGCTGCGCTGGTTGGAAAGCTGGGAGATACCTGCTGCTGGATTTGGAGCTACAGAGATAAAACTGAACTAGAACTGAACTGAAAATTGGATTGAATCTCAAATCCATGGAAGGCTCCTTAAGGAACTTTTTCTGTTACCAACCACTCAGGCACACACATCACCACAGATAGAAATAAAACCATTTCCATATTCAAAGCCTAGATCAGAGACAGGAACATTTTCAAGGAAATTTGCCAAAAAGATCATGGGCAAAAACATGCACAATTCTTAGACTATACAGAGACTCCCAGGTTCTTGGCTATAGTCAAACAATCTGGATGTAAATGTATTTACATTTAGACTTTAGACTCATCTTTATTTATCCCTTGGAATTAGTCCTTCAGGAAATTCTGATTTCTGTACAGCAGCCCGTCCAAAATCATCCAAAAACAGACACATAGACATACAGGTCCGGGAAGACTTATCACTCACCTGGCCTTTGATAGTGTAATCTGCAATGATATTTAGAAGTTTGTAGAAGACTTCAAACCAGGGCAAGTAGCTGAGGAGATTTAAAGAAAAAAGTGGCATGAAGAAGAAATTCTGATGTCCTGACAAAATAGCTTCAAGTGTTACAGTAAAATGAGTGTAATGCATGAATTAATCCAATGGTCCGATTACATCATAACTCACCTGAGAATGCAGTAGCAGGTGTGTGCGCCTGAAGACAGGCGACAGAACCCAAATCTCTGTTTGCTCTCAATGTCAGTCAATACAAACGTGAAGTTCTGCCCAACCTGGTTGACGGTGAGGCTGTGTGGAGAGAGAGGTTAACAAGGGAGGAGGGAAAGGGCAGAGGGGCAAAAGAGAGACAACTTGATCAATGACTTTATGTGTGCATGTGCACAGATCAGATCCACTGTTACAGGGTTCCCTTAGAGTGTGTCTATGTGTGTAAAGTCATTTAAGTACCGTATTTCCCCTAAATAAGGCGCACCGCGTTATGAGGCTGATAGAGCAGAAGCTCCAGTAGAGGCTGGGGCTGCGTTAGCATCCAGAAGCAGCTACGCTAAAGGGAAGCTCAGCTAACAGTCAGATAATCAGTCAGACTTTATTAACAAACACAAACCAGCGTTCTGACGACTCCGTTCACTCCCACAATGAACAAACAGCTGTTTAGTATTTTTCCAGCTAATGTCAGTGAGCTAGTGTTTTAGGGACACAGTTTATCTTTAACTACAACAATGTTTAATAGGTAGAGCAGCATTTTTATCAGTAGTGGAGGGAACTTTTCCTCCATTCAGTAAATAACATCTGAGAAGTTACAGTAAATCAGACAATGGTACGTGACAACATATAGCAGCTAGCATAAAGCTGACCAGCTCTTCTCGTAAAAAATACAAACAAACCTGCTGGTATAGATTAATTTATACTTCTTCATAGGGAGAAAATGGAGCCGGCAGCTGCTTCCTGAGACCTGTTGGGGCTCCATCCTGATCAATATGTATGGTGGACTATTGGTTTTAGAGAAAATTGAAGGCTTTTGGGCGCCTTATAGTGTGGAAAATACGGGAAGTTTCAGTGAGGCTTAAAAAAGCCATTTAATGCTGATTTCCCCTTTTCAAATGCAGGAAAGGAAGTACCCAGAAGACTGTCACAGGAAGTAAAGAGGTCCCTAAATCCAATGCGTGTGTGTGCATTAACCACTTCCACTGAGCAGTGCTTTGACCGTCTGCAGGATCTGATTTCAGCTGATGTCTGTCGTCATGACAAAACATTCTCAATGTTACACCAGAGCCAAGCACAACTTTAGAATCATTTAGGCAATAAACGTCTAATTTGTCGTTGACAAGAGAAGCCATTATTCTTTAAAATGGAGCCTGAATGACAGCAGGCTTTCTGGCTGCCAGTCACAGAGCCGTTTTTAAGGTCTGCTTTTCCTGTCCTCTGGTCCCTGAGGACATTTTGTTTCTCTCCTTTTGCAGATGAGCTGTTTTAGTAATTGGGAGCAAACATTACAATAACTATGATCAAGTTAATGATGAGTCAAAACAGATGTGTGAGAAGTAGGGACGTCCCCATCCAGCTTTCTGATCCGATCCCGGCCTATCAGAGCATGTTCTAAAGTCTAAAGTTATTTATCTACTTCCTTAGTTGTCAGACTCATGTTGAACAGGGATTTACTCTGATAACAACTAGCCAGCTGAATTAGGGGAGTCTGAATAACACAGACTGGTTGGTAAAGAGACACTGACCTGTTTATTCAGGGAGAAACACTAAATAGGATAAAATAATCCCACACAACTGACATTTTTACCGATAGCTTCATATCAACATTACCGTCTTATTGGTTAGGACACAGACCTGTGGGCTAGAGATGCTAATGCTAATGCCTAAGGCTGGAGACCGGATATTAGGGACCAACACAGAAAAGTGGAATGGATTATTTTAATCAGTGTACTGGGAAACACGGATCTGACTGTTTTTAAACTGGATCTGGAATCTGGATCTGCAGGCATTTTGTTGCAAATATCGGCGTCCGATCGGATCCAGATATGGGATCGGGACCAGCCAAGTGAGAAGGGCCTGTGTGTGGATGTGTGTACCTGTCCACGCTGAAGGGGAAGCAAAACTTTGGCACAGTCTGAAGAGTTTCCTGCAACACACAGACGGGGGAAAATAAAGTACACTATACAAAAGCGGGGAAAAAGGAGTAAACAAGAAGGAAAGATGCCATATAACAGTAACACAGATTGACTAGAATTAATTTATTGATATGCAACTTGAGGCGTTTCGTTACTCCGTGACAAGAAAAGCAGATTCACCAACAGAAGACAGAGGTTTGTGTGTGCAGATAAAAGAAAACAATCTGTGAGAAGGAAGAGAAGTGGGGAGTAAACCCCACATCCATGCCACAGACCTGTTCTGTGTAGTCCTCTGGGAACTGTCTCTGTACCTCTGGCCCTGTGAGGAGAGGAAGAACCAATCAGAACGACTCAGTGCTCAGCAAATCAGCCATTTGTCTTTCTAGGGGACTCAATGTAAAACTATTGAGCTTTTGGTCTGATTCTGCTGAGTTTTAACTCTTTAACTCTTTTAATTTTACCACATTAACTTCTATAGTTAAAACTACCAGACAGCAGATGAATAAGTAGTACCACACAATTACTTTAATGTTTTTATTCTATTCAATCAATTTTTATTTCTCAGGTCTGAATACGATATTTTATTCTTGACACATCAGGACTCCAGATTCATGAACTGATGTTTCTTTGAACCCGATAACCAATAATACACCTAAACTAAAGCTACTAAACTACAACTACTAAATTGCTGCTACAACTAAACAACAGAAACAGAAATAAGTGATAAATGTGATTATTAGTATCTTTAGGCTTTACTTTAAACAGTAAACAAATATACCTAATAAAGATTATTCATAACTGTCCGGTGTTGTTATTATTATCATTATTGTTGTAGTTTCGGGAACCTCTCTGCTGTGAGGATAAACAAACCATTCATTCTGAATTTATCCAGCTTATAGTGGTGAATCGTCATCAGTGTGAATCTAAACTTACATGAAGGGTAATTTTCTCTGAATCAGAGGGTGAATGTAGCCTCACCGAGCTCATGAACTTACCAGAGCTATGCTTGCCTGGCTGGGCTACCTCCAGGTAAACCTCAAAGGTGGACTCAGGATTCTCTCTGGAACACAAGATGGCAAAAAGAAATCTCACAAATACAAATCCACCTCAGTGATTTTTGATAACTCAACTATATTCATTACGACATTAATCTAGGGTGACCAGACGTCCTCTTTGGCCCAGACATGTTCACTTTTACATCCTGTCTGGGGCGTCCGGGGGGGAATATAAATTCATGGAAATGTCCGGTTTTCATGTTTTTCTGGCGAGACACACACCCATACACAAACAGGAAGCAGACGAAATAGATCTAAACTATTTCTATAGACTATAGATACTAAAAGGATCTCTACTTCTCTAGTCTAGATCCTTGTTGTTAGTTGAGTTTGTGTGGTTGTGAGTCTGTTTCATTCATTCCATTCAGAGGGGGTTCAGAGGTTTTTAGTTGAAGCTGTATTTTCTAATCCAGAAGAGATCATATCTAGAACATTATTTGATTTTATTTCTGTATTTTAAAGGAGGGTTATCTCTTTTTTACTGGTTGTTACAGATTGTGTTTTACTACCAAAGTTCTTTTTGTACCCTTGAGGTCTAATAAAGCCTGTTCATGAACATCTGAGGAGCCTGTCTGGACCCGTCTGGAGGCAGAGTTCCTCCTCTTTGGAAATCAAAACATGGTCACCCTACACTCATCTCTCCGCTCTCCGTCACAGCACGTGCCACCTAGAGATGACCTGCCATGACGTCATGGAGGAAGAGGAGAAGGAGAGTCTACTATACTTCAGTGTAAAACCTGTAGGCTCTGCCCTGCTTCTTAGACCCCATTTGTGTCCAGCAATCCCAAATGTCTGAGTGTATTCAAAGCCAAATTAATCCATGTCATGTCAGATGGGTAGAACTGGGCATTTCTGCCCCCAAACTCCTGAAAACCAGCATCCGGCTTCGGACCACTGACAGCTACCCAAACGGACCCCAACGGACCGCAACGGCTGTCCGCGCGCGGGTTCCGGAGTGACGTATTAACGTCCACCATGAATCCAAAAAGCCGGGCTACACTCTCAGAAAACAAACAGGCGCTGTTTCCAAGTCGGAAACCAGCTATGTTTTTAGCCAGTGTCGCAACAAGTCGGGCCCTCCAACCTAAATTCCCAGTGCCCCCCACCCCCCCTGCGCCGGGGCAGGGCGAGCTCCCCGGCGGGCTGTGAACGGGCCCCGCCACGGCCGGAAACGGAGCCTCATACCTGATTCTGGACCCCATCTTTGTTGGTTCCGCGCCGTAGCTGGCGGCAGATGCGTCAGTCCGGGGTGTTTTTAGCTAGCCTACCTGTCACATTCAGCCTTTCAACGCCATGGTGCGTGCGCACGCGCATGTCACGCTCCCCTCGCAGCGAACGCTTGGACTTGTAGTTCTTCCGGGGATCCTTTAGAGGCGTCATGCGGCTTTGAAAACTACAAGTTCCGCTTTACGGCAGAGACGTGACGATTTGATCGTTTGACGTTTAAGCGGTCAATTTGATAGACATCCTCTCATTTCCGTTACTTGGGAAAGTATGTCAAAAGTCAAATAAAAAAATAAATCAAACTGTGGACATGGTGTCAATTAAACATGGGAAACAAAAATAGATTTAAATAATAGTTTTTAAACTCAAGTTTCACAGTTTAGTATTGAAAATACGATGATAATTAGAACTAACTTCCTGACTTCCGGGACTTATTTTTCACATCTGATAAGTGATTCAAAAGAAAGTTGGCATAATACTGCCCTCATATATCTCTGGGTACTCCACATTTACTGTCCTCAGAGAAGGAGATGATGATGATGATGATGATAATGATGGTGATGTTTGACCTAGTTATGAGGAAATGCTTGTCACAGTTCTTCAGCAGCAGCTCAGATAAATAACCTACTTCTTGTTCTCGAAGTGGAAACTGTTGAGCAACCTGCCCGAGCACAGCGCGCCCACACGCCCACACACACACACACACACCCACACACACACACACACTGAGCGGCGGACACGGGAGCTGCACGGGTCGCTGGTTCCTCTACAGGCAGGCGGTCGATCAGGTAAGAAAAACCAACCTGAGTGAGCTCAGACTGTCGCCATGTGTTGTGTGGCTCGGTGGGAAATCGCCCCGGGGACTAAAAGCCTGGGGTCTAAACGCCCCGGGGACCAGCCCACTGCCGTCTGCACGGAAGCATGCAGGAGTTGCAAAGAGATGATAATCTGATAATCTCCGGCGGATATGAAGCTGCACACGGTTTTACCCCGAGTCGTACTCAAAATAATGGGAAAAAAATACAATTCTAGTCCGTTTAAACCAGCCTGAAAGTCACAACCTGGTAGGCTGGAACTGGTTTAAAACTATTTTTGAGGAGGAATCTTCCTGTGTGTCTCAGTCAAAAGAGGAAAACTCTAACAGTTCCACCTCCTCCATCCTCTGGCTCATCGCTGTCCCTGAGGGGAGGCACCATTCGGACATGTTTTCCTCCCCTGTCTGGGTTCGTTAGGCTGTGGGGCCTGTGTCCCCTGTCAGAGGCACCATGTAACCTGAAGCATCCTGTGGTGCGGTGGGGGGGGCTGTGTGGGGGCAGCTGAATGCAGAGGGGGTCGGGTCAGGATGCTGAAGGTCAAACAAGTGGCTAAAATGGGTCACTGTGAGCAGGGACAGGAAAGGCTGCTCAGGAAGCCTCGTCCTCTAACTAACTGAGAGAGGCTGACTGGGGTCTGGGGGAGGCTGTGTTCAGATGCCACAAACTCACAGTCCCTCCTGGGGACCTTTTGGAAGGAACCCAGAGAGAACCCCTCAGACATAGGCGGGACATGCAAACTCCAAAAAGGTCCTGGTTACCCCGGGAATCAAACCACCACCCAACCACCTTCATTACCAACCATCCATCCATCATCCTAACCCCTTATCCCATAATGAGCTCGGGGGGCGGAGCCTGGAGAGGCGGGGTCCCCCTGGACGGTCCCCAGTCCATCACAGGGACACACAGAGACACACAAGGACCAACAACCACACACTAAGGGAGTCCAGCCAACCTAACATGCAGGTTTTTGGACAGTGGGAGGAAGCCGGAGAACCCGGAGAGAACCCACAGACACAGGAGAACATGCAGACTCCACCCAGAAAGGTCCTGGTTCCCCCGGGACTCCAACCCAGAACCCTCTGGTCCTGGTTCCCCCGGGACTCCAACCCAGAACCCTCTTACTCTGTGACTGTAAACAATAGCCTTTGTTTTTTGGTTTCACCAGTGGGGGGGTGTATTCCATTATGGAGCCACAGGACAACCAGCCAGCTTTAGACAGCAGTGTGTGCAGGCTGCCCAGTCAGGAGGATCAGGTAGGACATCAATATTAAATTTAGTTAGATGGTTCCTTTCAAATACTGGTGAACTTGATAAAGACAGCAGATCATTGTAGCAGCTTAAAGTGTTTTTCTTTACAGGAAAATGCACCGAGTTGTAAATACTGTTGCACGATGGCTAACCTCCGCATTGAGAAAAAGATTGGTCAAGGTCAGTTCAGTGAGGTCTACAAAGCCACGTACCTTCTGGAAGGAAAGCTGGTCGCACTCAAGAAAGTCCAGGTACTCCATGTCCGCTGGGGCTTCTCTCAGCTTCCTGTATGTTCATTTATTCCCCTAAATCCATAAAGAACATGTCAGACATGGAGTAGATATTAGGGAAGGCAAGACAAATGTGTTGGTACAGAACCTTTCATGTACAAGACAAGTGGTTTACATAAAGTTTAAAAGCTGAAAATTAAGAAAACAAAATGAAACAATCATTCATTAGATAGATTTAATGAATGCTGGTAAAGAGCTAAAAGATTGGACAGTGGGAAACTTTTAGTGTGAAAAAGAAAGTTTTCATTTTCAAATGTTTAAAGCTTTATTTGTTTGAATGTTATATAACAATCCTCTGTTTCTTATCTAGTCTTAAAAGTATGTAAATACACCTCATATGAGCAAACCCTAACTCTGGGAAGGGTTATAAGCCCACCACATTATTTGGAGTGCATCATTCTGTAGTGAGAAAGATTGTTCACAAGTAGAAAATATTTAAGAATGCGTTAAATATTTAAATATGCAAAATATGTAAAGCAGAAATGATTTTCTTTCTGAGATCCCTAAAAAATCCTATGAATCTGTTGACATTTCCAATAACGTTTAAGCTGACAGAGGCAGTTTTTTTTATTCCTAAAGCTCTATAAATGTACGGTTTGACCTCTCTGCCAGATGTTTGAGATGATGGATGCCAAATCTCGTCAGGACTGCATCAAAGAGATCGACCTGCTAAAGGTAACCTCAGTAAAAACAGCTTTTTGTTTGCATTCGGGTAGTTTAAAGGTACCGGTTGGTCTTCCAGGTTTTTGACCACAGCAGTTGATTGTTTATGTTCAGTGTAAGGAGAAAATGGATGGATGGATAGATATCCTGACTGTGAACTATTGATCCATCCATGTTCTTCCCTCCAGATGATTTAGAAGGAAAATCCAGACAATTCTCCACCCAATTTTACTCCACTCCTGGCATCTCTA